CACACTCTTACCTGGAATTGTCTCAGACATCTGCAGTCGCGTTGGCCTCCATCCCCTCCCGCCTGTGCCCGGCTGGGCCCCCGGGCTTGGTCCAGTCACTCCCATCTCTCCCTGCTGTTCTGTCCTCCTTCTCCTGCACGTTCCACAGGCGTCCGTGGGCCCCAGTTGATGCCTTTTCCCCACCCTCTTGACCCCACCCTCCCCGCGTCTTGGCCACTAGAGGGCGCGAGGAGCAGAAACTCGAGGGTAACAGGTGTCTGGCGGCGGCTGGGAAGGGGCTGGTTCCGGAGCAGAGGCTCAGAGGAGGGAGAGAGAAGGAGGGGCGCTGGGGCTCTGGGGACACGGGGAAGGGCAGGAGAGCAGCAGCCGGTGAGGTGTATTGTCTCCCCCTGCGTCACCCCACCACACACTCGGCACCAGATCTTCCCTACTCATTCCATTCCCCTAAAACTCCAACACCAAGACATTTGGGTCTGCTACTCAAGCTGGAGATCTGAGCGTTGTACAGATTCCCCTGAAGGCATAGTCAGTCTTTCCGTTTTGGTAGTGCAGTGAGATTTAGAGGAGAGGGGGACATCAGGAGGAAATTTTAATAGATCTTCACTCTGACGAGACCTCATGCTAATGACACATTTCTTGTTTTTAAGAGTTGAATACTAGTTAGGATGCATAGTCAAATAAATATACTGCTTTTAAATTAGGACTCAGCTGAGTGTGGGGATTTGTTTTGTTGCTATCCCAGGGTCTAGCACTGTATCTATAACTATAATATCGATACATAAATCGATCAATTGAAATAGGAATTTTATTAATGGATCATTTCACTCTGAAGGTAAAGCTTTGCCTATTTAGCCATGTAGATAGAATGTGGACTATTCTTTAATGAGGAGGATAATTTAATAACCAGCTCATCTAAGCCCAGAGCTCTGGTCAACTTACCCAAAAGCTTCCAGTACCCACTGGTTCTAAGAGGCAGCTGTGGTGCTGTGGAGAGTGCCCTGGGCTGGGAGCCAGAGACCTCAGTTTTCATTCTGGCTCTCCCTGCCCCGTGTGCACTGTTGGGCTGGTCACTTCCTCATCTGTAAAAGAGCCATTACTGGTTTAATAAAGTCAGGACCATGGTGAGGATTACAAGATAAACATTTTTTTTTTTTTCCCTGCCAACCCAGGCAAAGCTCAGACTTTAGATTAATCTAACCCTCCCTCTTTGCTCCTTTACGTGGGCTGTGGGACACACAGGAGGAGCGAGCCATCCAAGCATGCACACTGATGCAGCTGCAGACTTGTGGAATCTCATAACACCTGGACCCACCGTCCTCTCCATTTGCAAAGCCGTGTACATGTTCTAACTTAGCCCGCTCTTTACTTTCCTGCAATGGTTATTCCAACCTTTGGCTATATTTAAAGTTCTCCGTATCTCTTACCAAACCAAAGCTATATGTATACATACATACATATATACATGCATACATATATATATATATATATATATATATGTATATATATATAAAGAATCTACACATGTTATCAATTCTTGAGGGGGGAAAAAAAGCATAGAAAAAAGACTGGAGTGAAATATGCCAGAATGTAAGTTGTGGGTTTTTGATCCTTCATATTTCTCTGTGCTTTTCAAGTGTTCTAGTCCATCATGTATTGCATGATGTTTCCAAAATAACAACAACAACAAAACAGAAAAACTACCATTCGAGGAGCTACCACCTACCCATTGATTTATCCCCCCACCCCCTGCTCCCAAATCTGATTCCCGGCCCAGATGCAGGGTTCTCGCTCTCCCTCTCCGGGGCTAATCTGATCATCTGTGCTATTAATTCTATATTCTCCTGACTTCTCAAGGATCTTGCCTTGACATTAGATAACGCTTTTTCTCCCCATTCAATCTCCCATTCCTTTTTGGTCTCTTTGCGAGCATATAAGTATGCTTAAAGGAATTCCCTGGAGGTCCAGTGGTTAGGACTCGGTGCTTTCACTGCCAGGGGCCAGGTTCAGTCCCAGGTCGGGGAACTAAGATCCCACAAGCCACATGGTGCGGCCAAAATAAAAATATGCTTAAGTCCCCTCCATATATCAGCAAACAAGCAAAACTCCCCAGGCTCCAGCTCCACCTTGGCTCCCCTCTAACTCTAGACCCGTACCCCCTTTTCCTTTTATAGTCTGAGTTCTAGAAAGAGTCTGAATTCCAGCCTCTAAATCTCCACGACTGACCGTTTAACCCATTGCAGCCTGGCTTCCACCTTCACAACACCCTTAAATTTGCTCTTGCCAAGATCTCCTTTCAGGCTTCGTCTTCCTCTGCTCTTCTGACTTTGCTCAGTCTTGTTGGAACATCCCTTCTATGCCATAAATTCTGCCACCTGTTATGAATGTCCTAGACCAGCTCTTCCTGGGCTCGTGGGGCAGGGACCACTGTGTGAGGCATATCTCCTTGATTGTCCCCCGGGCCCTTCACACGTGGTGTGTCTACTGTGGGGTTCGAGAGCTGCTCTCCCCCGGTCCTTTCCTCCTCATTTTCTGGACCCCTGCCACCTTCCGGGTGCCCCCGTCCCCTCGTCAGCTTGTTGGCTGTGCTGTCAGTGTGGAGCCTGACTGTGACTCACCTGGACCTTTGCAGTGCTCTCCCAGCCATGTCTCTGATTCTAGTGTTGACTGCATCTCACCGCCAGCAATAATCTTTGTCTCACACACCTCCCATCCTCTTTGACCCTGGCTTCAAATTCCTTGGTGGCCTCCCATTGCCCAGAGGTACAACCCGAGCTCCTCTCCGTGATCCATCATGGTCTCGCTCGCTTTACATCTCTTGCCCGTGTCCCGCCACGCCCCAGTAGCTTGCATTCCACACTCCCATAGCTTGGACTCCTCTGAATCCTCAATTCCGTTATCTTTTGCCCCTTTGCATATATTTCCTTTGTGCGGGATATTTTCTCTGTGCTGGCACATTGGACAGATTCTGTCTCATCTGTCGAATGTCAGCTCAAATACTGCCACTTCTGTGATGTCCTCCCTGATTTCTCCCAGGGAAGGCTCAGGTACTTTTCCTGTATTCTCCCTGCCCTTTGTATAATTATCTTATCATACTCTAATTTGTTTTGTTTATTTCTCTTTTAGATTGTAAGGTTCATGGGGCAGGAGATATGACTAATTTTTTAGCTTTTTTTTTTTTTTTTACTGTGAAATATAATGCACACAGAAGTGCATTAATCAAAACTTAGATCACTTATATGTAGAATCTAAAATATGATACAGGGAATTAACTGGTGGTCCAGTGGTTAGGACTCCGCACTCTCATTGCAGGGAGCATGGGTTCGATTGCTGGTCAGGGAACTAAGATCCCACATGCCACGTGGCATGGCCAATATATATATATATGTGTGTGTGTGTATATATATATAATACAAATGAACTTATGTACAAAACAGAAACAGACTTACAGACATAGAAAAGAAACATGGTTACCAAAGGGGAAAGGGCGGGGAAGGGATAAATTAGGAATTTGGGATTAACATATAAACACTGCTATATATAAAGTAGATAAACAACAAGGTCCTATTGTATAGCACAGGGAACTATATTAAAAATCCTGTAATAAACAAAAACGGAAGAGAATATGAAATAGAATATATATACATATGTGTATAACTGAATCACTTTGCTGTACACCTGAAACTAACACAACATTGTAAATCAACGAGACTTCAAAAAAAAAAAACTTAGGGATAATGAATAATCATAAAGTGAACACTTGTGTAACTACTGCCCAGGTCATGAAAAGGAGTATTTTCAGTCCTCCAGGAGCTCCCTGTAACCTTTCTAGATCCCACCCGTCCCCCTACTCTCTTGGCTTTTATGGCAGTTTTTAGTTCCTTCCTGGCTTTCCTTCATAGTTGCACTACCTATATATTCATTTCTAAACAAATCATTTAGTTTTACCTGTTTTTGAACTTTATACAGTCAGATCATGTTTTCTGTTGTGTTTTACTTCCTTTATTCAACATTGTGTTTGTATGTGATTATGTGTCCTAATTTTTATTATTGTATAGCAGCATTTCATTACATGAATTTACTGCATGTAATGTATCTATTAATGGATGTTTGGTTTATTTCCAGTTTGGGGCTATTATGGTGCTTCAGGTATCTTATACACTTCTTTTGGTCCCCATGTGCATGAATTTCCTCAGGGTATAGATCCAGGAATGGAATTGCCTGTCACAGGGTGTATATATCTTCAACTCTACCAGATAATGCTAAACTGTCTTTCAAAGTGTCTGTCACAATTTACATCCCACTAGCCTTGTAGAGGGTGCCCATTGCTCTGTATCTTTGCCAATATGCGGTATTGTCAGACTTTTCCTTTTTTTTTTTTTTTTCTTTTTTTTTGCGGTACGTGGGCCTGGCCTCTCACTGTTGTGGCCTCTCCCGTTGCGGAGCACAGGCTCCGGACGCGCAGGCTCAGCGGCCATGGCTCACGGGCCCAGCCGCTCCGCGGCACGTGGGATCCTCCCGGACCGGGGCACGAACCCGTGTCCCCCGCATCGGCAGGCGGACTCTCAACCTCTGCGCCACCAGGGAAGCCCAGACTTTTCCATTTTTACTGACATGGTTGGCATGGAGTAGTATTTCATTGTGGCTTTAATTTGTGTTTCTCTCTTAGTAAGGAGGCTGAACACCTTTATGAGTTAATGGGTCAGCTGAATTTCCTCCTAAGTGAAGGCCCATTTAAGTTTTGCTCACTCTCTAATGGGTTGCTTGTCTTTATTTTATGGCTTTGAAAGTTCTTGCACATTCTGGATATGAGTCCTTTGTTGGCTGTATGTGTTGAAAATAAGCTATACTATAAAATCACAAACATTAAAGATTTATTGATTATAGTGTTTTTAAAATTCTTTCCCTTAGCACTAATAAGTAAGTAGAAACAGGCTAATTAGACAATACATAATAGTACACATTCCTTCAAATTAATCCTGTCCTTCCCTTCTTCTCTCCAGGCGTCATCATCGTCCCCAGTGCCGGTGTTGGGATTGTCCTTGGAGGCTACATCATAAAAAAATTGAAACTTGGTGCAAGGGAATCTGCAAAACTAGCGATGATCTGCAGTGGTGTGTCTTTACTGTGCTTTTCAACGCTGTTTATTGTTGGATGTGAAAGTATCAATCTAGGTGGCATAAACATCCCGTATACAACAGGGTAAGTATCTTGGAAGAGGCATCTCATCTCATCCTGGTCAAGATTGAAGTGCGAAACTCTGCGGTGTTTGGATCCCAGGGTTCGGCTTGCGCCCCTCCCTCCATGCAGGGCTCACTACGCCTGTGTTTCTGTCCCGGTAGAGCTGCACCCTCTTGGGCAGAGGCCTCCGCCTCTCCGTTGTCTGTGTCCGTTTTGACCCTCACAACGTCTCCCGTGGCATTTGGGTTACAGTACATGAGGAGGAAATGCTAGTTGGCTTAATGAAAACTGTTCTTTTCTTTTTAATGTAATGTTTTGAATAGGTAGTACATTCACACAGTTTCAAAACAAAGTTCAATGAAAATACAGTGTGCCTCAAGGCCTCCACCCCACTTCTCCCCAAAGACAAACCAGGGAACCACTTTAACTCATCTCTTGTGTACCCTTCCAAGGATGTTCCTTATACAAGAAACTATGAATGTGTATTTTCAGTGTTTTCTGTTTTATATCCAAAAGGTAGCATTCTATACATTCTTTTCTTTTTCTTTCTTTCTTCTTTCTTTCTTTCTTTCTTTCTTTCTTTCTTTCTTTCTTTCTTTCTTTCTTCCTTTCTTCTTTCCTTCCTTCCTTCCTTCCTTCCTTTCTTTCTTTATCTATTTATTTATGGCTGTGTTGGGTCTTCGTTGCTGCGTGTGGGCTTTCTCTAGTTGCGGCGAGTGGGGGTTACTCTTCGTTGCGGTGTGCGGGCTTCTCATTGTGGTGGCTCCTCTTGTTGTGGAGCATGGGTTCTAGGCACGTGGGCTTCAGTAGTTGTGGCTCATGGGCTCAGTAGTTGTGGCTCGCGGGCTTAGCTGGTCCGCGGCATGTGGGATCTTCCCGGACCAGGGCTCAAACCCGTGTCCCCTGCAATTGCAGGTGGATTCTTAACCACTGCACCACCAGGGAAGTCCCTATACATTCTTTTCTGAGCTTTTTTTTTTTTTTTTTTTATGTAACAATCTGGGTTGGAAGCTTTCTGTCACAATAATAATAATGATGGTGATGTTCAAAGTGTAGCTAACCCTTATATTAACACTACAGCATGCCAAGCATTCTTCTAAATGCTTTACGTATATTAACTCATTAATCCTCATAACAGGCCTAATCAGGTAGGTGCTATTATTATTCTGATTTTACAGAGGGCAAAACTGAGGTATGGCTGACACGTATCAGTATATAAATCCGTTCAGGCTGCTGTAAGCGAACACCATAGATTAGATGGCTTAGAAACAACAGAAGTTTATTTCTCAAATTCTGGAGGCTGGGAAGTCCAAGATCAAGGTGCTAGCAGATTCGGTGTCTTGTGAGGACCTTTGGATCCTCTTTGGATCCTCTTGCTCTTTGGATCATAAATGGCTGTCTCTGGCTGTGTCCTCACATGGTGGGGGTGAGGCATCTCCCTAGGATCCTTTTTGTAAGAGCACTAATCCCATTCATAAAGGCTTCACCTTCATGACCCAGTCACCTCCCAAAGGCCCCAAACTCCAAATACCATCACGTTTAGGGTTAGCTTTCAACATGTGAATTTTTCATGGACCCAGACATTTAGTCTATTGACCTAAAGATCACAGGCAAGGATTACACAAGAAACATGTGTAAAGCTCTCAGCTCTCCTGGCACACAGTGAGTGCCCAGTGATAGTTAGCTATTGTTATTAGTCATCACTAATCCATTAAGAACAATTTCTATCAAATTATTTTTACTACAATTGGAAAACATAAATAGAATATTAAAAGTTAGTAAGAAAAAAACCAGCAGTCTCCTGACCCTGCTTTCCAGGGGCAATAATTTAAAATTCTTTTTAGCTATCTCTCCTGGTATTTACCTCTATATTTTTAAAGCATACTGTATAAATTAACCAAATGAAGACATTATTTGTGACTTCCTGTCTTAGTAAATGAGGAGTCTAGCATTTGCTTCACAAGTTGTGCTCAAATCCTTTTCTGATATTTTCATGGTATGATTATGACAGTATTGTTAGCAGCTGAGGCACAAGTACTGTATCGTGATTAGATTTCCTCCTTTGTAGAGCAGCGATTTTCCTGGAATTAAATCACTGCCTTATTTTCATTTCCTTTGTTTTCTTTGAGTCTGCTTCTGCCTTCCCATATCCTCTAAGGGCTCAAGAAATCTCAATGTGACTTTTCACCCATCCGATGGACTCAGGATTCCATTTCCCCACCCCTTGGAGTCATCTGTATGGGAGCCCTCTGGGCCTGCTGCCCCGCTGTTGCCCCAGGAATCTCACTTGCCTCTCTCTGTACTGATCCTTCATTTTCTGGATTCTGTGGATGCCTCTTTTTTGGCTTCCTCCCCCATTTTGCTAGAGCACATCCTCCAGTAGCTACAGGAAGGCTGTCAAGGCTGTTACCATTTGTTTTTTTTTTTTGGAGATTTTTCATGAAATAGCCACTTTTTTTTTTTTTTAACAATTACATTTGATTGCCAAATTGGCTGGGTTAAGAACTTTGGACTGGATGAATCATTTTCACTAAAAATTTTCAAGTTTTCACTCCATTTTTGTCACTCCAGTTTCTAACGCTCTTGTGGGAATTCTGGCCTTTCTTTTTCCCAGTCCTTTGTATGTGCCCTACTTTTCCTTCCTGGGAGTTTCCATTTATTCCCAGTATTCCCAAATTTCACCACAATACACTTCTTTTTTCCTCTGAGCACTTGATGAACTTTTAATGTCTGGAGACCATGTCTTTTGTTTCCATTTTAACTTTTTTAAAAGATGTAATTGTTGTTATTTTCTCTCCACAGTTTTTTTCTCCTATCTCTCCTTCATTGATTCTCTACTTTTCTTATTCTTTATAAACTATTTTATATCTCATTATGGCTTGTCGTTTAGTGGATCTCACTGTAGGGTAATTGCAGGGGGACAGCTGGCATTTTCATTGGGGTGCTCAGTGTCAGAACCTGAGGTCTTACCTGTGAGGTGCTTCAGTTCCTCAAGAGAAGGATGCTCCTACCTCCTGCCTTGGGCTGTGTTGCGGTGGGTTCAGGGTTGTAAGCCTAGCTGCTGACATTCTAGAGCTGGGAGTAGGGTGGTGGGTGGAAGAGGCTAGGGTGCTACTGTTCATTTTGCAAACTTTTACCAAATTCCTCTGTCATCATCCTAGCATCTTGCCAAAGGTCTCTTTTATGTGGTGCTCTTAAGTCCAGAGCCTTTGGTTCATTTCCTCCAGAAAATAGAGGGGGTGGAAGAAGAAGTCATCTACTAAGTAGGGTGGGGAAGGGAACCTGCTTAAAATTGTATCATATTTGGACCACGACTTTCTTGTGGTGTCTGTCCTTGAGTTCCAAAGGCCTGTTCTTTCTCCTACTACTGGCGTTTATCTTGTCCATATATATATTTAAGTTCTCATTATACTTTCTGTTTTATTGAATCCTTTTTTTTCTGAAACTCTCCATAATTTTGTTTCAATTGGATTGGTTGCTCTTTTGCATAACTTATATCCTGGAACTTCCTTTCATAGATCTCAATTGTATCCACTAGGTTTTGTCTGTGTAGTTATTTATTTGTTAACGCCTCATTTTGCCAGAAAAAAATCCTTGGATAACTTCCTAGGGAAGGGTTCATGGAAAGAGAAGCTGTCTGAAACCATAAGTGTATTAAAATGTCTTTATTCTTCTTTCACATTTAAGTGATAGTTGGAGTGGGTATAGAATTATAGGTTAAACATTTGTTTTTCTGAGAACTTGGAAACCGTTGCTTTGTCATCTAGCGTTTAATGTGCCAGATACTTAAATGAAATTTAATCTCAGTCTGAGTTCTCATTTCTCCATTACCAACTTTATTTGGAAGTTTTGAGGATATTTTTTATTCAAGGTGTTCTGAAATTCCATAAGGAATGCTCTACCCTCCGATTTTGTCTTGGCAGGACTCCTCCAATGTCACTTTCTTGGAGAGACTTTCCCTCTCTGCCCAATATAAGGGAGCCCACTCTCCCCTCATTCTCTATTACATCACCTCTTCAGTTTCCTTGTAGCACGTGCCACTATCTGAAATTGTCTTGTTTACTTGATTTGCTCTTGTCTTTTGTCTCTAAAATATGAGCTCCTTGAGAACAGTTACTATAGCTGCCTACATAATAGTTGCAGCCTTGCCATCTACAACAAAGTTTGTCGTATGAATGAATGGACAGACGCATGAATGTCTTGGCCCAGGGCTTTGTTCATTCATTGTATTAGGCACTTTTAATCTAACACATATGTCCTTTTTTTTCTTTTAACCTCAGGGAGATTTTCTTCTACTGTATCTTTACTCGTTCTCCTCTTCATTTTCCCTATGTTCTCCAGGACGCCTGTTTTTCAGATGTTGGAACTTACAGACTCGTTACCTGTATGTTTAACTTGTTTTCTCACATTTCATATTTTCTTTGCTATGAGAGATTTTTTCAAACCTGCTTTTTTATTCTTTATGTAAATTTTAAAATTTGAAAATAATTTTTTCTTCGGCATTCTGAGTGTTCCCTTTTCATAACGTCCTGCTGTTGTTTGAACAGGAGTAATATCTTCTCAGATCTCTCTGCGCATATAATTCAGTTTTTTTTTTTTTTTTTTTTACTTTGTTTCTGTGTCTTACATTTTATCATTTTATTTGAAATGTCAATTTTTCCTGTTCATTTACTCTGGGTTTTACAGGTTGACAAGACTCAGTTTAGCGTGTGTCAGGTTATGTGTCTCTCTCCCCCACTCACCCCCCACCACACACAAGAACGAGGGAGTTTTATTGTCATTTGTCAACATCTAAGGTAGAAGCTTAGCTTTTAAATTTTGTTCTGATTTCTTTAGAAGAGCTTTCAGATGAGTTTCGGGGCTCTGAATTGGGGATGGAGGGGGTGGGTGTGAGAGTGGAAGGGCCCACTGATACAGTCTTCTCTCCCTTAGGTCTCCAGTGAGTCGCATTGTTTTCAGTCACTTTCATTGTTTTCGCGGTCACTTTTGCTCCCTGTTGCACCTGCTGGATTTGGATTCAG